TGTTTAGTGACATGAATCCATCATTATGGTATGGTACAGAGTATTTTCACTGCCCTAAAAATCCTCTGTACTCTTTCTATTCATCTCCTCCCCTGAACTCCTAGCAACCACTCATCTTTTTACTGTCACCACAGTTTTGCCTTTTCCAGAATGTCATAGAGTTGGAATCATATAATATGTAGCCTTTTCAGATTGGCTTCTTTCACTTCATAATATGCATTTAAGGCTCTTCCATGTCTTTTCATGGCTTGATAGCTCATTTCTTTTTAGTGCTAATAATATTCCATTGTCTGGGGTGCCATAGTTCAGTTATCTATTCATCTACTGAGGGACATCTTAGTTGCTTCCAAGTTTCGGCAATTATGAATGAAGCTGCTATAAACATCCACGTGCAGGTTCTTGTGTGGACATGCGTTTTCAACTCCTTTGGGTAAACACCAAGGAGTATAATTGCTGGATTGTATGGCAACAGTGTTTAGTTTTTTAAGAAACCATCAAGCTGTCTTCCAAACTGGGTGTACTATTTTGTATTCCCACCAGCAAGGAACGAGAGTTCCTGTTACTCCACATCCTTATCAGCATTTAGTGTTGTCTGTGTTCTGGATTTTGATCAATCTAATAGGTGTGTAGTGGTATCTCATTGTTGTCTTACTTTGCATTTCCCTAATGACATATGATGGGGAGCATCTTTTCATATGCTTATTTGCCATCTGTCTATCTTCTTCGGTGAGGTGTCTGTTGAGGTCTTTGGCCCATTTTTAAATTGGGTTGTTTGTTTTCTTATTTGCGACTTTTAATTATTCTTTGTATATTTTGGATAACATCCTTTATCAGACGTATCTTTTGCAAATATTTTCTGCCCATCTATGGCCTCTCCTTCCATTCTCTTGAACACTGTAGGGATCTGATGACATTTTTTTTCTACCTGTCCTCAGAACACAGTTGTTTTGAGTTGGGTGCCTGAATCTCTTGTATTATAAATGGATTGGGGATTATAAAACACTCCTGAAATCAGTGGGCTGAAGGATTAGAGGTATGTTTTACAGTTTATAACATTTTTGAAGAAACACAATTAACCGACATGCCCAAGCATCATAGAGAAATTGTCTGGAATCAAATGGCAGGAAGGCTAATTGCCATTTAATCGGATTTTGAAAATTTCTCTTTCCTTGTTACAAGCTTTGTCTAAGGTCAAAGAAGGAAAAAAAAGAACACGGATAGGAAATTCTTCATTCAAATTTGGAGAAAAGCATTTGGAAAGTAATGTTGTCAGAATGAAAGTTCTAACAATCAGAAATTCGCATAACCTTTAAAATCTGGAAAACGTATTTTGGTTTGTTTGTGAGCTTTGTTGGTTTAAATAAAGAAAGTATATTTAATGTGTTCATTGGGAATTTTCATGTCACACAGTTACAATTCAGGGCGATTTTGCCCCCCATGGGATATTTGGCAATGCCTGGAGACATTTTTGGTTGAAACAACTGGGAGTGTGTGCTGGTGGGTGGGACATCTAATGGGTGGAGGCCAAGATACTGCTAAACATCCTACAATACCTGGTTTGATGGACTAACTATAATTTTTCCTAACACACAGTAAAATGTATAATTTAAAAAATAAGTGACATTTGTATGTGACCTGAAAGTGTTTCTCATACCAGTGGTGGGGGCACATCTCTGGGAAACAGGTAATGCCTGGGATATGTCTTGCTCTTAGAAAGCACTCAGCTAATGGTGGTTATTTTCATGATTTAGAAGTTACCTGAAGCTAAAATAGCTTGAGGAACTCTTTCTTGCCAAAGGAACCAGAATAGCATTGTCTCTTTATATCTAGAAAGGGTTAGCTTCTCAGATACTTGATCTGTCCTTTGGAGGGACAGTACGTACAATTCTTTCTTTCTTCCTTTTTTTTTTTGTTTTAGGAAGATTAGCCCTGAGCCAACATCTGCTGCCAATCCTCCTCTTTTTGCTGAGGAAGACTGGCCCTGAGCTAACATCTGTGCCCATCCTCCTCTACTTTATGTGTGGGACGCCTGCCGAAGCACGGCTTGCCAAGCGCTGCCACGTCCGCACCTGGGATCCGAACCAGCGAACCTTGGGCCGCCGAAGCAGAACATGCGAACTTAACCACCGCGCCGCCAGGCCAGCCCCTGTACAATTCTTAATGTTCCACTAAGGCCACTTTGAGTCTTGTAGTCAATCCTCCAGTCTCTTTAAGGTGCCTTGGAGTATCTCTGCTAGCTTTATCTCCCAGTTGAACGCTCTGAGGGCAATCACATTTCTTTTATTTTCAAGTTTTGGATATTTGCTCTCACGTACCACTTGCCCTCTGCTCCCTTGAGTGCCACAGCACTTGGTAGAATTCAATGCCACAGGAACTCATCACAGTGTTTCACAATTGTCTGCTTACAGCCCCATTTCCCCACCATACTTGGCTTTTCAAAAACAGACAAGGAAGGTATCTTTTTCATTTTAGTACCCACAGTGCTTAGCACAATAAATGTTTTTTGAATCAATGAATAATTGAATGCAAGAACATCATAATGTCATAAGTCATCATAACTTATGACTCAGTGATAATGATCTTCTTCCAGAATCCCCAACACAATAATCATCATGGATTCACGTTCAGCATAGAACTGGTCATTGTTTCATATTTCAAGAACAAACATAAGGTCTCAGTTTTCCTGTCAGTCTAGTTTAATGACATTTCATTCTATTTGGCAGCCTCTTATCCTTTTAGCATCGGCACAACCATCCTTGGTCCCTCCTTATTCTCTTTCCTCGTATGCTTTCTGTGCTGTTACACTCCTGAAAGAAAATTGAGGGATTAATGCGGTTTTTGCTTTATGTTTCTTTATTCATTTTATTTGTTGTTTATTCCCTGTCTTGTTTCACAAAGGATTTGCAGAGGCCAGTAATTGTTCCACTGGGAAATTAGAAAGATATCTAGGCAGGATTCAGAGAAGTGTGAAATGGTGCTGTTAACATTGCATTCTAATTTATGATGAACAAGCCCCAAGATTCTGGTAAAGCCTTCTGTTTCTGATACCTAGAAACTAACAGCTTTGGCCAGACTAGAAAAATCAGCAGAAGTATTGACTACCTCCACATTCGCAGCTTTTCTGACATGCTTTATATCAAGTCAACAGCCACAACCCTTTTTGTGTCTCCCCTCACCTTGCCATCCCTAAACTTTGGTTAACCCTCTCCTGTCATTAGAAGCATTTCTTATTTTTATACATTTTTCTGGATTGCGTCAGCCCTTGCGACATGACAAAAGCAGAGGCTGGGAGAATTTCTAATGTCTTCTGAGAAGCAGGTTTTGTGTAGAGGAAAGGATTTGGAGTCAGTCCAGAGCAGCTCTACCCCCTAAAGCTGAATGACCCAAGATGAGTCACTCCACCTCTCTCAGCTTCAGTTTCCCATCTGGAAAATGTGGATTACAGTTCCTCCCTCTCAGGGTTGTGGTAGGGATTAAATGAGATAAAGTGCTTGATTAAAAAAAAAAAGAAGGTGCTTTATAAATAGTAGCTATCATTATTGTCCCAGGAATGAATAGCAAGTTATGTTTGGGGAAAAAATATATTGAGCAAGTCTATAGCTCTGGTTTTGCACTGATGTGTGCACGTGTGTGTGTGCCTGTGTGTAATGAGACATCTCCAGTTCTATCTAGTGTAGGGAGGGATCAGGAAAGCACAAATGGAACTGCCTCCCCCTTAAAAATTTTTATATACATAAATAGAACATATATATATATATAAATATATATACACACTATTTACTAATTATAAAACATCCATATTGTTACCACCCAGGATAAGAATTAGATCATAGCAGAACCTCGACACCCTGAAAGGCCACCATCCCAGCCCCAGGTAACCACTACCCTGACTTTTGCTCTTTATGGTTTTCTCACCTGTATGTATATCTCTCTCTAGACAACCTTATTTTGTTTTGTCCATTTTTGAAATTTATGTTAATGGACTCATACTTTATTCTGTTGTCTTGCTTCCTTCACTCAGTATTGTTTTGAAATTCATTATGTCATGTGTTCAGCTGTGGTTTATTCCTTTTCATTCCTTTCTCTTGCTGACGGACGTTTGGGTTGCTTCCATCTTTTTTTGCCATTATGTTGTGCAACGCCACTTGTACATTCTTGTACACGTCTCTTGGTGTACATAATTAGGAGCTTCTCTAAGGCATGTTATACCCAGGAGTGAGTCACATAATGTGCCTATCGTCAACTTTAGGAAACAGCGCCAAACTCTTTTTCAGAGACTGTGCTAATTTACACTCCCATCAGCTATGTATGAATGCATGCAGCTTCATATCTTCTAAACACCATCAGTCCCCACCGCCCCCCCATCTGGATGCACGTTATTGCATCTCCTTGTGGTTTTAGTTTTCTCATTTCCTGATTACGAATGATGTTGAGTACCTTTTCATATGTTCGTTGGCCATTTGTCCTCTTTAGTGAAGTGACTTCTGTCTTTATTTTAAATTGTCCTTTCAGACAGTCCCCATACCTTCACCTATTCCTTGCGGGACAATCAGCCGGGAGAGGCAGTCGCCGAGGCAGGTGGAAGTTCAAACTCAAAACATCTGCTGTCTCAGCTGTAGCAGAGAACCAGTTGGTTTACCAAAGTAACAAGTACTTCGACTTTAGCCAGGATTGAGGAACAAGAAGACCAAGCAGAGTGGCCTGGCTGTCTTCCTCCTCATAGGTAGCCATGCAAACAGGGGACACCGCCCGGGCGAACTCTCCAGGGACCCTAGACACAAACAGAAGCGTCCCTAAACAGCATCCTGCTTAACCGCCAATTTCAAACTTTCAAGACCTGCCCTGCCGGGTTTTGCCTTTCCCGGTTTCCCATTGGTCACGAGTCAAAGGAAGAGGCAATTTGATTGGCTCTCTCTTTCACTTCCTCCGACCCTTTAAGGGCTTGGGCGGGGCCTGGCTGAAGTGCAGTTGTCCATCATAGGAGCAGGCACTCTGATTGGTTCAGACACGCTGGGCCCCGCCCGCGCCGTTCCCCGGGTTCAAACGCGGCGGCGGGAGGCGCTGGGCGGAGCAGAGCGCAGACTGGCGGGGTCGGCTGAGCGTGAGTGTGGTCCCCCCACCCCGAATTCTCCCTCACCCCTCTCTGCGAGGCCGGGGGAAGGGCCTCGTCCGCCCGCACCAATCCCGGCTTTCCCTCCCGCTGCGGGAGGGCGGCGGTCCCGCCCCAGGGCTGCTGGGGGCCCGGAGGGTCTTCCCGGGCTGGCGGGGCGCGCGCCCCCCTCCTCGGGAGCGGAAGGTCAGCCAGGTGGTGCCCGGGGCAGGAGGAATTGTCCCTCTCCTAAACTGGGTGGGGTCCTATGTGTATTCTGCCCTGCCTCATGTCCGCATTACCTGCATTATTCTGTCCAGTCCGGCAGCTGCTTATTTGCGTGATGCGAACAGTTTTCTTTAGTGTCTTCATACTCTCGGTCCCCAGCCGTCACCCCCTACTTCCACCTCTTTCACTCTGCTCCAGCCCCTTAGGGCTTCTTGCTGTTGTTAGGGAAGGCCCGGTCCGTCCTGCCCCAGATCCTTGGCTTCAGCTGTTCCCTCTGCCCAGATTCTTTTCTTTCCCCAGATATCAGCAACACTTGCTGCTCACTCTCTTCAGTTCTTGGTCCAAATGTTACCTTCCCAGTGAAGTCTACTCTAACTACACTGTTAAAAATTGTGCACACACACTCATGCCCCAATTGCTCTCACCCTGATCAATTTTTTTTAACCCTATGGCTCTTATCACCCTCCAACTTATTATGTAATTTGCGTATTTTCAGTTATTCATTCAATAACTATTTATCAGCACCTACTATGTGCCCGGGCTATATGTGTCCGCACTATGTGAGGATAAAATTCCCTGCCTTTGTGAGGCTTACATTCTAAGGGGGGGCAGATAATAAACAAACTTGTAAGTAAGCAAGAGTATCAGGTAAGTGTACCACCTCCTGTTACAGTGAATCGAAATCTGGTTTTTAATATCCATCACCTGTTTGAGCTTCCCAGGACTTGTGTGGTGGCTGATTTTCACCTCCTTATCCCTGATCTCTTGAGAGATTGGAGTCTCCCAAGTCCTTCCTCCTCAAAGCTGCGCTTTACACTTGACCTTCTCCTGTCTCCCTTCAGCACCAGTGGGGAGATGTTGAAGTTCAAGTATGGGGCTCGGAACCTGCTGGACGCTGGTGCTGCTGAACCTATCGCCAGCCGGGCCTCCAGGCTGAATCATTTCTTCCAGGTAACAGGCTGCCAGCTCTGCTCACCTGCCTTTGTTTCCTTGGACCCTCCTTGTCACTCACTTTTGCTTTTATTATAGAACTGAGGCTAATCTTCTAAGAGAAGTCCCATTTGATATTTTATATGCGCTCATAGTATTGGAAAAAGGAGCCACTGTGCAGACAGGAGTGGATAACTGAACTTGCCCTTGAAGGGATAGTTTTTAATCATTTCTCACACTTTATCCTTCTGTACTAAAGTTTGTCCTTTTATTAAAGAAGGAAAAATGAACAAAGGCACTCTTTTGACCAAAATTGCTGCAGGTGTAATCATATTTGTTTTTCGTTCAAGGGATGTTTATTTTCTAGATTAAAAAAACTGTTTTGATAAATACCACAGCTGTGAAACCCACATTCCTCTCAAGATATAAAACATTTCCATCATCCCAGAAATATTAAAACAATATCAGGAGATTATTTCCAAGTCGATTTCTAATTCTTCTGTTTCTGATGTAGACGAAATATTGTTGATGTAGAAATCCTTATTTGACTCATGTGTTCATAAGTCAGGGGGACTATATAGGCAGTGGTGAAGATTTAGGTTTGAATCCTGGCCCTAGCACTTGTTAGCTGTGTTACCTTGAGTGGGTCAGTTGCCTTCTCTGAATCCGTTTGCCACTCTTTATTTATTTATTTATTTATTTTTTAAAGATTGACCCTGAGCTAACATCTGTTGCCAATCTTTTTTTTTTTTTTCTTCCCCCCAAAGTCCCCCAGTACATAGTTGTGTATTCTAGTTGTAGGTCCTTCTAGTTCTGCTATGTGGGACGCTGCCTCAGCATGGCCTGATGAGCGGTGCTATGTCTATGCCCAGGATCCGAACCGGTGAAACTCTGGGCCGCTGAAGCAGAGCACGAGAACTTAACCACTCGGCCGGCCATGGGGCTAGCCCCTGCCACTCTTTAAAATAGAGGTTATAGCACCTAATTCACGGGTTATTGTGAGGATTAAATGAGATAATCCGTGTAAAGCACTTAGCTCTTTGCCCAGCTTTTGGTAAGCCCTTTATTAATGGTAACTATTGTTAATACTAAGTGTAGAAATAGTATTAGTTACAGTAATAATAAATTTATGTTCACTTAGCAGTAATTATATTTAGGAAGGTATTTATGTAGAATACCTGTATGATAATAAATGCTAATATGTTCTTGATGACATTTTGATCAAAATATTGGCATTGGGGAGTGTTCAAATGGATCAGAATAGGGACAAATTGAAAGCTTAGGTTGTTCTGTGGGGATGATCCCTGTCACCATTTATTTATTTATTTAATTTTTTTTTAAACATTGGTACCTGAGCTAACAACTGTTGCCAATCTTTTTTTTCCTTTCTTTCCTCTGCTTCCTCTCCCCAAATCCCCCCAGTACATAGTTGTATATTATAGTTGTGGGTCCCTTCAGTTGTGGCATGTGGGATGCCACCCCACTGTGGCCTGATGAGCAGTGCCATGTCTGCGCCCAGGGTCCGAATCAGTGAAACCCTGGGCTGCTGAAGCACAGCGTGCGAACTTAACCACTCGGCCATGGGGCTGGACCCCCATCACCATTTTAAGTTGAGATATTTTTCACAGATGACTAGTCTATCTCTAACCATAGTTGACTGGAGTGCTGCCACTTTTTAGCTGCTTTATTGTTTTATCCTAAAACGTTCCCAACTTATTACAGAATAATCACTCATTTATTAAGGGCTTAAAATGTGCTAATTGTGTAATAGCTATGGCTTCCAGTGTGCCAGGCACAGAGCCAGCATGTTCCTGGTTATCTCTCTTCAGCCTCATAGCAGAGGTAGGGACTATGTTTTTTTTTTTGCAGGGTAAGATTCACTCTGAGCTTACAACTGTTGCCAATCTTCCTCTTTTTTCCCTCAAAGTCCCATTGTGTGGTTGTATATCATAGTTGTAAGTCCTTTACTTCTTCTATGTGAGCCACCACCACAGCATGACTACTGACAGCCCAGGAAATGAATCCAGGCTGCTGAAGAAGTGAAAGCACTGAACATTAACCATGGGGCCATTAAGGCTGGCTTGGGACTATATTTATTTACATTTTAAAGAGGAGGCAGATCCAAGGGAGGCAAGGACTTGCCCAAGATCACGCAGCTTGTAAATGGCAGAGCTGGGCTCCAGTTTGGTCTCTCTGACTCCAAAGGCTGGTTGTGTAACCACTGGGCAATACTGGCAGCATGTGTCAGAGTTTAAGTGTATCTTATATTTAAGTGTCACTGTAACAGTAAGGATTGTGGGTAAGTCCTCAATTCATCTCTTGTTAATGATGAGTTCCTCCGTGTCCCCGGGAAATCTGTTATTTGCAGGTGTAGTGTACACCTAACATCTGCCTCCTGTAGACAGGTGAGGACACTGTTTTTTTGCCACAAACAGTGCCATTTTAATGAGGGTTAGATAGAGTAGTGATTTGATTTTCCGTCAGGGAAGTTCTTTAGACTGAGTCTCAGTTTCTCTTTTCCCCTGCTAATTAAAACTATTTTCCAAGAAGTTCTAGGTCAGTAGTTAACAGACTTTAGATTTTCGAGCCAGCGAAATTTCACAAGTTTGCAGGGCTGATCTAGGTTTTCCAACTTTTTATTTTGCCAAGTAAAGGATGTAAAAAAAAAAAGATAAAAAAAAAACAACCTTATTATCTTCTGGTCCTTTTGTTTCATAAAGAAAGGACATTTTAAGAAACACCAAGAGAGGAAGGACATCATTCCAGATAAAGGGCCATTTTAAAATGTGAATACATTTAGCTTTATAAAAGAGGCATTATGTGGTGGTCATTTTTTCTCATTTCACGGCAGCCTTGAAAACTTTGTTAAGAATCAGTACTGTAGGGGCCAACCCTGTGGCTGAGTGGTTAAGTTCACATGCTCTGCTGTGGCAGCCCAGGGTTTCACTGGTTTGAATCCTGGGCGTGGACATGGCACCGCTCATCAGGCCATGCTGAGGTGGCATCCCATATACCACAACTAGAGGGACCCACAACTGTGGGTGTAAGAATATACAACTGTGTACTGGGGGGCTTTGGGGAGAAAAAGGAAAAAAAAAAATTTGAAAAAGAAAATTCAGGGGCTGGCCTGGTGGCACAGTGGTTAAGTGCGCACGTTCCACTTCGGCGGCCCAGGGTTCGCTGGTTTGGATCCTGGGTGCAGACATGGCACCGCTTGCATGCCATGCTGTGGTGGCGTCCCACATATAAAGTAGAGGAAGATGGGCATGGATGTTAGCTCAGTGCCAGTCTTCCTCAGCAAAAAGAGGAGGATTGGCAGCAGATGTTAGCTCAGTGCCAGTCTTCCTCAGCAAAAAGAGGAGGATTGGCAGCAGATGTTAGCTCAGGGCTAATCTTCCTCAAAAAAAAGAAAAAAAAAAGAATCAGTACTGTATTTGGGAATTGCTGCTCTAGTCTAAACTCATTAAAGAAGAGAAGAAACAAAGAATCTTACTGTATTTCTGAGTTAGTGGCAGAACTACTAAGTGACAGATATTGTGGTCTTGCGACCCAGTGCTGTACAAATCTAGTTGAGGTTTGAATCTCTTGGGGGCCGTGTTAATAAAACAGATTCTAAGCTACAAACTGGAAAATTCCAATTCAGTAGGTTGGGGATAGGATCAGAGAGTCTGTTTTTTGTGTTTTTTTCCAGTTAAGTTCTCCAGATGATTCAAATGTAGCCAGTCTGTTTCTGTTATCCAGAGCTGTGTAACAAACCACTCACAAAGTTTAAAGCAACAATGATTTAATTTTACTTATGATTCTGTGAGTTGGCTGCTGGATTCAACCAGGCGCTTCTTCTGTTCCACCCTTTGACGTCAGCTGAGGTCACTCAAGGGGCCATCTTGAGTTTGGAGCTTGGCTGGGGCTGGAACATCTGGGTGCTGACTGCCAGCTGGGGCACCTCAGAGTTCTTTCCCCTGGCCTCTCTTCTTTATGAGCTCTTCCATTATTCAGTAAGTCTAACCCAGGGCTTGTAATTTTTTTCTGTGAATAACACATAGTTTAGACTCTGTAGGCCACATGGTCTCTTGCAACAACTCAACTCTGCCATTGTAGCACAAAACCAGCCATAGACAGGATGTAAATTAATGGGCGTGGCTGTGTTCCAGTAAAGCTCTATTTATAAAAACAGGCAGTAGGCCAGATTTGGCCCATGGATCATAGTTTGCTGATCCCTGCTCTAGCCCATACTTCTTTACGTGGTGGCTGGCTTCCCAAAAGACCAAACGCAGAAGCTGCCAGACTTTTTAAGGGCTCCACCCAGCACTGGTACAGTGTCACTTATGTCATGTTCTGTTGGTTGAAGTGAGTTACAGAGACAGCACAGATTCAAGGGGAGGGAGACAGACTCCTTTAGATGATGGAGCAGCAGCAAGTGCCTTCAGAGTTAGAAAAACTGTTGATGGCCATCTTTGCAGAGAGACCCCCCCACCCCCGCCCCAATCCATGGCTTGGCACACGGGAACCATTGCTCTGGACCAGGAGTTGCAAACTCATATCTTTGGGGGCCAGGCAGTGAGTATAAAGGAGTCAAGCGGACCAGATGGAAGACTGCAGGTCAGGGCTGCGGTGGAATGCAGAACACATTCGCTACCCGGAGGAGTGTTACTCAGCTTCAGCTCAGCATCAACAGGCAGGAATGTGGGGCCATGTTGCTAGATCTGCCAGTGTTTCAAGAGAAGCCAAACACCCCCCCCCCCCCATTTTTGGTGAAACCTCTTGATTTTTCAATACTGGCAGATAATTCAAATTATTTTAAATACTACAGGCCAAACAAAGCATGTCTGTGGGCTAGATACAGTCTGCCGGTTTCAACTGTTCCTCCAGATCTTGAATAAATTCAGCTTTAATATAGTCACTCCATTCACTCTACTCTAGATTGTTTGAATGAGTTAAAGAAACTGAAGTCGTAATAACAGACCTCTGGGCACATTTGAAAGAAGTGGCAATCGTTGTTTCCTGTTGTAGAGACGTGGAGACATGTCAGGACCAGCAGGGTCCAGAGTAAGTGTTTCCACGAGCCTCAGACCCTTAAGAAAGAAGGGCCTTTTCTTATTAACAGCGTGCTTGTGAAGTTTTTCTTCCTGGGTGCTGGTGAAAGAACCCACAGTAATGGAATCGTACAAGTGAGAACTTAATGACCGTCAGTTGATGTCGCTCTAAAGAATGAAGCCACGGAATTGTGCTGTTAGCGTGTGTCGTGAGCAGCTAGTTGAGTTGGTGGCTTGTAATTTACTCTGTGTGGATGTTATTGATCAAAGCTTTTCATTATTGACAGTGTCTCCATCTGCTGTTTGCTGTTTTTAGGGGAAACCACCCTTTATGAGTCAACAGCAGATGTCTCTTTCCCGAGAAGGAATATTAGATGCCCTCTTTGTTCTCTTTGAAGAATGCAGTCAGCCTGCTCTGATGAAGATTAAACACGTGAGCAACTTTGTCCGGAAGTGTAAGTTTGGGGAACTTTTTCTTGAAAACTGTGCTGCTAGAGAAAACTGGCAGGATGCCAGAGGCAGAATGCGTTAGTGGTTAGTGGAGTGGGTGAAAACTCTGGTCTGAGACCCACCTTCACGGTCCGTTTTCACGTGTTGCAGTTGGAAGACCGGTAAAGTCAGACCCCTGGGTCACAAGCGACAGAAACTCGACTCAAACTAGCTCGGGCCAAAAAGTGAATATGGCTCATGAAACTGAATAATCCAGGGATGGGTCTAACTTTAGGCATGGCTGGTTCCAGGGACTTAAATGACGTCGTTTGGCCCAGCCGTCCATCCACGCAGGGCTGACTTATCCATTAGGTATAGTAGGCGTAGTGCTTAGGTCTCACAATATTGAATTTTAATAAATTTAATTTATTTAGTTTAATTTTGATCTATTTTAAAATCATAAGAAAAATATGGCTATAATAATAATGTATCATGATTCTGTAATATGTTCATCTTTATCCTAATGCAGTCATAAGATACAATTTTTGATTTTTGCTTTATGGGTGAAGAGGCTGACCAGGCAGAAGTGCCCGGGGAGGGCCTATGAAGGTCTTAAGTCAGCCCTGCTCTTAACTGTGCTTGACTTCCACGTGGTGGGGAGGCTGCTGTTTTTGACTTTATACCAGTGTTTTTTGACCAGTGCTGATTTTGTGCGCCCAGGGATACTTGACAATGTCTGGAGACACGTTTGGTTGTCAAAACTGGGGAGGACGTTGCTACTGGCATCTAATGAGTGAGGCCAGAGATGCTGCTGCACATCCTACAATGCACAGGACAGTCCCTCACAACACAGAATTATCTGCCCAGAATGTCAATAATGTCAAATTTGAGAAACCCCGCCATATATGACTTTGTGGTGCAACCAACCACCCTGAACTTAGTAGCTTGAAATGATAATCATTGTGTTACCTCTCCAGATTCTGTGGGTTAGCTGGGCTCAGCTGGGGATTCCTCTGCTTCTTGAGACGTAGGCCATGATTCTAGCCATGGGGGACGGGAGAGGGGTGGCGCTGTCTTCTGGAATGTTCTGATAGCTCACTCAATGTCTGGCATGTTGGCTGGAAGGCTGGGCTTATCTGGGACTCTGGGACGACTGGGCCTTTCTCTCTTGAAGTCTCACAGCCTCTTGTTCTCCATGAGGCTCCTCCATGTGGTCTCTCCGTAAGGGGTCAGCCGACTACAGCCTGGAATGCCTGCGTTGTAAACAGTTTTACCGGAACACAGCCATGCCCATTTGTTTATGCACTGCTGTGGCTGCTTTCACATTACAAGGCATTTGAGTAATCTGAACTGAGATCATAGGGCCTACGAAACCTGAAATATTTACTGTCTAGCGCTTTTAAGAAAAATCATGCTGACCTCTGATCTACATGGTCTCTCTAGCAGAGGTGTCTTGACTTCCTACATGGTACCTCAGGGTTTCCACAAGCAGGAAAGTGGGAGCTGCCAGGCCTTATAGGGCATAGGCCTGGGAGGAACATAGGGTTTCTTTGGCCACTTTCTATTGTTTGAAATGAGTCAGAGGGCTGCCCAGATTCCATGTGCCAGGGAACTACACAAGGGCATGAATTGCAGGAGGCGTGGTTCATTGGGCACCATCTTTGGAGACTGGCTACCACCCTGCCCAATGTTTATCTTCCACTATCTATATTAATAACAATCCCAGAGAGGACTCTCATTGGCTCTGCTTTGGGTCCTTTGCCCACCCCTTGAGTAATCGCTGGGCCAGGATGTGAAGTATTGTGATCAGCCTCATCTGGGTGCCTGGGGGTTCAGGGCACTGTGATTACCAGGGCCTCGTGGAATAGAGGATATGCAAGTACCCAGAGGAGCTGGGAGTTGTGGGTAGGTAAAATTGATGTATGTCCACTCCAGGGACCTTTGATATTTATGCGTACCCCTTCTGTTCTCAATTTTCTCATCTGCAAAATGCGTATCTAATAAGGCTTTGTGGGGATTGGATGAGTTAGTGCACAGACCAGGCTTAGCGTGTTTCCTGGCACATGGAGACACTCGCTAAATGTTACCCGGTAAGGATAGCTATAAACTTCACCAACATTTAATATATTGTTTATCCTTAATTTTAAAATGTACTTGGGGTGTTTGTTCGTTATTCCATATTTGTTTGAATAAACTCCCACCTATTTTCTTGAATATTTAAATTCTCAAGCACGGAGTGGGAAGGAAAGGGAGATTGTGTAAGAGGCCAATTGACCGAGCCATCGATAGCTGCCTTCATTAGTCTTGAGACTGCCCTCTACTTACTTTAAAGCTGTTGATCTTCTCCGCTCATTCAGTAATCAGGGGGCTAGGCTTAGTGAAAGGAAGATTTTTGTAATAGAATTCTTTCAGGGAGCTGCTTCATATTTTTGAAGAGGCTTCCTGGAGAGAATGGTTGAGAGGCTATGATTGAAAAAGGGTGATTGCATTAGTAATTTTTTTCCCCCTTTCGAGTGTCTGTTTTGGAAAGTAAGCTTCGTTTTTCCACGGGAAGAAGGGTCCAACAGCTGCTATGGCCTGGGTTTCTTGAGTCTTGTGGTAGAGATGGAGATTTCTTTGGGGACTGTTGGAGGAAATGAGACAGAGAGTATAGCCCTGAAGCAACGTCCTTGGCTCCGGCCAAGGGAGGGCAGGGAACCAGCATCTGGGAACCAGGGAAGGGATTTCTGTTTCTTAATTACTATTCTATCCCCAGTGCCTAAGACAGTATCTGGCACATAGTAGATGCTCAATAAATATTGGTTGAATGATTATATTGCTAAACGAACAAAGTAAGTGGCAAAGCCTCAAGCATAATATCCTATAATTTGTGTAAAAAATAAACAAGTGTGATATTAAAACATGCAAAGGAAAGTGTTGATAATTGTCAAAGTTGGGCTATTCTTGGTGATTTGACAGTAGCTGAAATTCCACCCTCTTTCAGCTCCATTCACTGTAGGCAAAAACTTCTGTATGCTCACAACTTTAGTACTTATGGGCAAATTATAATTTTAAGGTTTTTTTCCTAATTGTAAACATAATACAAAGTTAAACATAAAAGGTCAAAGTGAGAGAAAAATCCCTCAAAATCTTACCTGTCTGAGATAACCACTGTTAACAGTTTGGCGCATAGTGTGGCAATTTTTTTTTGTCTTTATAAAATATTTGTTATGGAAATTTTCAAACATATCTAAAGGTAAAGAGAATAGGACAGTCGTCCCCCGGTATCCTCAGGGGATTGGTTCCAGGACCCTCTGCAGATACCAAAATCTACAGATGCTCAAGTCCCTTATGTAAACTGCTGTAGTATTTGCATATAACCTATGAACATCCTCTGTATACTTTAAATCATCTCTAGATTACTTATAATTCCTAATGCAATGTAAATGCTATGCAAATAGTTGTTATACTGTATTGTTTAGGGAACAATGACAAGAACTACAGATGCAACCGCTGTAGTCCTTTTGGTCCAAGGTTGGTTGAATCTGCAGATACAGAAACTGAGGATACGGAGGGCCGGTGTAATGCATCCCCGGGTACCAATCAGCTCACTGTAGCGATTATCACCCCTTTTCCATGCATGTTCTAACGTCACTCTTGTTTAATTTTACACAAAATGGATCATATGCGTGTAATGTCTTGCCACCAGCTCTGCTCACTTAGCGATATGTTGACTCAACAAATATTTATGAAGCACTTGCTCTGTGCCCGGTTTTGTTTTAGGTACTAGGTTTACAGTAGTGATCAAAACAGACAAGAATCCCCACCCTTAAAGAACATGTGTTCTGGTGGAGAACGAGCTACCTCATTCTTCTAAACGTGTGCCTAATATTCTTTTATGTGGGTGGACTTTCAGGTTGATTCCACTTTCCCATTAATGGACCTTTAGCTTGTTTCTGATTATTTTTCTGTTACAAGCAGTGCTCATCATGAGCATCTTCATATGTCTCTTTTTTGAGCACATGTGCTAGTGTTTCTGTGAAGGATGGATTCCTAGAAGTCGAGATGTTGGATTTCTGAATTTCAAAAAAAGGAAGCAATACACTCAGCTGAGTTGGCTTTTGCCCTGTGGGTCCAAATGTTTATCTGCCAAAGTCACTTGTTGACTGTGTTTTCATTACTGTGCTTTGGGTCTTTAGCTCCACCTCAATGTTCAGTACCCATTGGGCTCTTAAATACTGTGACTAACAATGTGCAGGGATGAAGGGAGATGTGGTTTTTGGAGTCACAGAAGCTGCTGGTATGGAGAGAAGTTGTGAAGGTGGTTTTTTTTTTTTTTTTATAGTCATAGACTTGAGTTTAGTGTCTCACCTGTTCAACTTAATAATCCAAAGCCTTTGGAAAAGACATTGCGATTTGGAATGGCGTCTCGGAATTCTGAGAACATCAGGCTGGTTTTACCTGTGAGCAATTTGTCTACTTGTGTGATTGAGATGCCTCGTAGTTGCCAGTCACTGACCTAGAGTTATTAAGTTGGACAAGGCTGCAAGAAACTTGGGGGCCCCAAGCCTAACAGAGAATCAGGAGAGATTAGCCTCGTGTGAAAGCAATAATGAAATCAGGTTCAACTCAGAAAGTTGCAAGCCAGCATATATGGGGAATTATAATTTAAAACTCAAACACTTGATCTGAAAGAAACTTGGAAAAGGACAGGGAAGAAAGACAGGGCTTGGCACAGTGATGTCAGGGCAAAAGGAAAATATTGTACAGCTTTCAGGTTTGTTTCTGCATGGAATTCTCCGTGTAGGCGCTCTAGATTTATTTTTTACGGTGGTCACGATGAATTAATGTGGATCTACCCACTGCTCTCGCCTGATTCCCCAAGGGACCAAAGGAAGGTGTTTTCAGGATGACTAGCTGAAGTGAGAGGTGTGGTCTGTGGGTGGGAAGACACTCTGTGCAGTGGAGTTCATCATGTGTGCTTTTGATCCAAGTTAATGCAACTCCACCCATGCAATAGAGAAAGGGATGGGTAACAATTAAAATTGCGTTGGCTAATTCATCAATATGCTGCTCAATGACCATGGGTATAAAATGGCTTTTGCCTTTGTTCAACTCGGTCCCTCTCATTGTGTGAACGTCTTGCTGAGAGAATGTAGCTCCCAACTTTATCTGGAGCCCAACGACAGAAATGGCGATCCGCTCCCGTGCCTGTGGAATTTCAAGTCTCTTGGTCTTCAACATGGCACCTTTCTGAGGGGTTTGCCAGGATAATCTTGATTATGTGTTTCTCTTGTCTTCCTCTGGAGTGTAACCCCTGTATATGATGCAGTTGCCCTGTAATGTGCAGGACTGAATTTTTTGGTCAGCCACAGCCACTTCCTTCCATTCTTGCGGGTCATTAGAGTCATTGCCTATCCAGCAATGCGCCAGCTTAGTGTTCTTCGAGTGTTAAAAAATGTATGTTAGATTCCAAATCTGCCATCCATTTAGTCCATACTTCATACGCTGAGGATCTCCAACTGTTATGAACTGAGTGTTTGTACGCCCAATGTGGTGGTATCTGGAGGTGGAGCCTTTGGCAATTAGATTTAGATGAGATCGTGAGAGTGGGGTCCTCATGATGAGATTAGCATCCTTATAAGAAGAGGAAGAGAGACCAGAGCACCCCCTCTCCCTGCCATGTGAGGACACAGTGAGAAGGCAGCCCTCTGCAAACCAGGAATCGGGCCCTCTCCAGGAACTGAATCTGTCGGCTCCTGGGTCTTGGACTTCCCAGCCTCCAGAACTATGAGGATTAAGTGCCTGTTGTTTAAGCTACCTCATCTGTGGTATTTTGTTGTAGCAGCTCAGGCAGATTAAGACACCAACTGAGAGACTGCACTGGGAGAAGGAATAAAAGTGTACGTTAAGAAAAAGATGGTTGCAAACCCTTCCAGATGTGTGACATGCCAGCTCTGCGGAGCAAATGTCAGGGCTCCATTTGGTTCCTTGGGCTAAGGCTTTTTTTTGGTAGCACTGCCACATATTAAGGCAAGGAAGGCATTACTCTTCATGACACAATCCAAGGGAGATAAAACCGGCTGGTGGGAGAAAACTGAGCAGAGCACAGGTAATCAGAATAGAATGATCTGAAGTCAACTCCAGCGTTGATTAAGACAGGAAGCAGGTTGCTTACATCACATTATAAACTGGTCTAAATGCTGATGAGCTTGTCTGGCCAAACACTGTCCTGCTACCTTCAGAGAGGAGGGAGAAAAGCATGATTTGTGTTCTCCTCCTATTTTCTAAGTCTACAGGATTCAAATTATAGCTACCATGGAAACTGTGCTTTGGAATTTTTGGAGCCCTTAATTTTAACTTAACATATAAAAACACTTTTGTGCTGATTTTATAATTATTCTTGACGGATGAGAAAGTGACTAAATGTCTTTTGACAGTGAGGGAAGACATAACACTTTTCTTTCTTTTTTCTTCTGCTTTCCTAAGGATGCAAGTATTTGAAGTGCTTTATTTACCTGGGAGTAACTCTTCCATCTTTTGCAGATTCTGACACCATAGCTGAGTTACAGGAGCTCCAGCCTTCGGCAAAGGACTTTGAAGTCAGAAGTCTCGTAGGTTCTGGTCACTTTGCCGAAGTGCAGGTGGTAAGAGAGCGAGCAACCGGGGATATCTATGCCATGAAAGTCATGAAGAAGCAGGCCTTGTTGGCCCAGGAGCAGGTAGGACCATTTTAACATCCCGCCCTTTCCCCTTTCTGTACCAGAATGTTCATTGCAGAGACGACGATCTGCTGAATTGAGCCTGGGATGGAGCAGATTTTCCTCTGTGACTCTCTAGTTAATTACGGTTGCCCGGGCAGAAAGGTCTCTCGCGTTCTTAGCTCTTCTTGACCTGATATTGACTCATTTTGAAGGCTCACAAGCTCTCCTTGGTTTCTTTGTCATGTTCTGTAGTTGTATTTTATTCAGAGCGAACTTGGCCTTTTAACTAATGAATTTAAGATGATCTTTCATGACCATCAGCTGGGGATTCAGAAATATGCATATTGTGGGGTGAAGCAGATAGCGGTTGCTTTTGTACACATTTTTATGTATTTGCGTTGTGGGTGTGTGTATTTGATTTTAAAACAGGCCATTGAAGAAATTAAATAAAATTGTTATGTGGCTAGGGAGTTGCTTATTTGAGAGCAGGGAAGAAGTTATCTTTTTGGTTGTGGTATTTTTCTTTCTTTTAAACAAGGCTGCTGCTCCAGACATATTGATTTATTTGCCGTGTTTCTAGAGAGACAGCCATCAGCCGCGGAGTTCAGAGAGTGATTTATTAGTTACAGACGTTCGAGTGCACATCATGTGTCTCATAATGTACCCGGCTCTGTGGGAAGCCTGCAAGCGGAATTGAAGCTCCATAGCTGTTAGTTTCAGGGTTTAAAAACAACCTTGGAACGTGGAGGAAAAATGCAAATACGTAAAGCAGGCATTTACGAGCTAAAGCATCCCAGAAGGGAAGAGCAGTTAGCATATTCACAAAACGATGGAGTGAGGAGAGATGTGGGTGAGTTAGGGAAAGTTCACACTGCTGAGAGGAATGTGGGTTCTGGGCAGAGAGAAGTGACGAGAATGTGCCAGATAGAGGTATGGCATGTGGGACGTTCCGGAGGGTTGAGTACTAGAATGCTATGCAGATGTGTTTTTCGGTTTTTGTTTTTAGTGGTTTAGAACAAATAGACTGGGAAATGGGGGGGGGAAATAAGGACATTTAGGTGGGGAGAGGGTAATTGGTGGAAAATCTCAACAACCTTTTGATATTGTGATAAAATATATGTAATGTAAAATTTACCACTTTAACCGTTTTTAAGGTATAATTCATTGGTACTAAGTGAATTCACAATGTTGTGCAACCGTAATCACTATCCATTTCTAGAACTTGTTCATCATCCCAAGCAGAAACTCTATACCCATTAAGCAGTAACTCACCATTCCTCCAAGAACCGTTTTTTGGAATTGCAGTTTAATTTGTGAGGTGGTTGGGGATCATATAGGCTTTTGGAAGAAGGAGGTTGGGATCAGAGTCTAAAGACTTCAGTGACATTGTGGGGCCTCTGATCAAAATAGCAGCGGAGGGCAGGAAGCTGCTTGTCGGAGTCCAAGAATGATGCGCCCTGTGTTTAGGAATGAAATGTGAGCAACTGCTCAGAAAGGAAGCATGACAGGACGTTGCACATCATTTGAAAAACAGGAGTGGAGGATGCTCACTCAACCTCCCAACACCTCAGAACCATCTGTCATCAGTACACACCTACCGAGCCCCTGTCGTGTTTGGTGTGTTTCTAGGTCCTTGAGAAGAGACATTAGATGCAGCCCCGACCTTATGATGTTTATGTTTCATATGGGAAGTAGTGCATGTAAAAAGAAAATAATCCGACATGCCATAAAGCAGGCAAGCAGTAGAGACATTCAAATAGGTGTGCCTTCCTCCAGGTGAATGGCCGGAGATGATTGTGTGTGAGGTGTGGGCTGGGGTTTTTAAAATCATACACATATAGGAGCTAATGAAAGCCACACATCTATTCCTTAAGAGGGTGAATGTGAAAGAAAAGTAGGGTCCTTAACTGAGCCATAGCGAGGCTGCAGAATTTAAGGGCACGAGAAGAGAAGCCAGCACAGGGCGTGAGTGAAAGGACATGCCAGAGAGCAGGTAGGGAGAGGTAGTGTCCTGCAAACAAGGCCTGTCACCTCGGAGAGGCCAGCACACCTGCCCAAGCTCTGTGAGAGCCGGAAGAGGTCCTCAGAGACCGTTTATTTTAATGGAAGCTGCGGGGGGCAGACAAGGAGTCAGTGGTGAGCAAGGAAAGGTGTGGACTGCTCGGTTCAGCCAGCCTTCCCCGAACAACTGTGATGTGCCAGGGAAAAAGGAGGATCAGCAAATGGGGTGTAGGAGCTTTATGGGTTTGGGTTGGTGATTCCCAAATGTGCTCGATAGGCCACTGGTGGCGTGCAAGGTGATTTTAGGCAGTCCCTGGATGAAACTATTTTAAAACATTTATAGTTTAATATTAACCAGCAGATCAAAACTTGGGACGTTCACAGATGTTATTGTTCGAGCTAACCAGAAGAAGATATAATTAAAATTATTTTTATTTTGAAACAATCACAAATTATAGAAAAGTTGCAAGTTCAGTGTATCAGTCAGGGTTCTATAGTATATATACTATACATTATGTAAAATATATATGTACATGTATACACTGAGTATACATGCATGTATACACACACACACACACACACACACACATATATAAAATTTATTTATTTCAAGAAGTTGATTTACCTGATTGTGGGGGCTGGAAGGTCTAAAATCTGTAGGGCAGGAGCTGACAATGCAATCTTGAGGCAGAATTTCTCAGAGAAACCTGTTTTGTTCTTAAGGCCTTTTGACAGATTGGGGAGGCCCACCCAGATTATCAAGGATAATTTCCTTTACTTGAAGTCAACTGATTGTAGATGGTAACCGTCCACAAAAACGCCTTCACAGCAGCACCTAGATTAGTGTTTGATTAAATAACTGGGTGCTATTGCCTAGCCAAATTGACATGTAAAACTGTCATACACAGTAGTAGTAACTTGTTTTCCTGAACCATTTGAATAAGTTGCCAGCCTGATGCCCTGTTACCTCTAAACACCTCAGTGTGTGTTTCTTGCAAGGACGTTCTCCTACGAACTGCAATCCAATCATCAAAATCAGGGAACTGACAATGATGCATTCCCACCATCTAATCCTCAGACCCCGTTCAAATTTCACCAACTGTTCCATGGTCTTGGAGAGCAAAAGGATCTGGTTCAGGATCACACATGGCGTTTACTTGTCCTGTCTCATTAGTCTAATTCACTCTGGAACAGTTCCTTTATTTTTCCTGGACTCTCATGATCTTGGCGATTCTGAAGATTAGAAGCCAGTTATTTTGTAAAATTTAGATTTGTCTGGCGTTGCTCAAGTTTAGATTCAGACTGTAGATCTTTGGCAGGAATGTCACAGATGAGATGCTCTGTTCTTCTCATTGCATCCCCCAGGTGACTCAATTTCAGTTTGTCACATTCATGATGGTGTTCACTTTGATCAGCTGATTAAGATGGTGTCTGCCATGCTTCTCCACCGTGGAGTTACTCCTTTCCTCTTTGTAATGACATAAGCATTTTGTAGGGAAGTACTTTCAAACTATGGCAATACTCATTCCTCATAAAACTTTCAGTTTATTCATTTATTGATATCTGTATGGACTTGTGTCTTCCCATTTTAGTCAATGTGTTACAATTTGTTACCGTCATATATTTTTGTACTCAGATTGTCTCTAAGTTGGCCAATGAGAATCTCCTTAGGTTGGCTTTTGTGTTCTTTTGCCATATCCCCGTCTTTAACCACTGTCTTGCTTTCTGGTACAGCAAGGTGTTCAGGCTCTAGGGTCAAGATCTGGGCACTATGGGTTTTCATTGCAATTTGGGATGTCACTGCTCCCAGACCCGTGTCAATGGACAGAGCTAGAGAACACATGAATCTATATACAATATACCTACCTACACACTCATACACACACATCTGTTTTTATTTCTACATCTATCTCTATTACTGAAAACAATGTGTTCACGCCAATACCTCCAAGTCCAGTCCAACTTCATGGAGTTCCTTCTAGTTCTCACCCTTTCCATGTTTGTAACTCTCTTCTCTGACATTACCCTTAAAATTTTTCCTGATTTTATGCATCTGTGTGCATCCAATCTGCTGTCTTTGCTGCTGCTCCCTCCCCTTGGTGGGCTCAGATGCCCTGCTCCAGGCCATCCCTACATGTGGATGTCTTCCTCACCCTCCGTGGCCCTTGATACACTACATTGGGCTGCCCCACACATGGTTGCTGCCCTCCTCACCCTCCTTGGTCCTGGCACCCTGTTCTGGGTCACCGGGCTCTCTCTCCCTACCACCTGGCATGGATACTTACCTTGTTCTGCTCCACCTAATGGCTCTACGACTGAATTGTTAAGGAAGGGAAGATGAAGAGAAAGAGAATGATTTAGACTGGAAAGAAGTGAGGTGACTTTAAAGAAAGGCGTTAGGTAAATAATCAGACAGATATATATGGAGCTGGCAAAATTGTGAGCAAGGTAAGTGAATGAATGAGATTTGTGGAATGCTGGGTTAAGTAATGACTTTTTTTTTTTTAAACTAAAGACATCAGTTAGGCCTTAAAGAGAGAGGAAAGGCCATCTGCCCTCCACCCGACATTTAATTCTTTATCTTATAATTGTCTAAAGGGTTTTTTCCCCCCTAGGTTTCATTTTTTGAGGAAGAACGGAACATATTATCTCGGAGCACAAGCCCTTGGATCCCCCAATTACAGTATGCCTTTCAGGACAAAAATAACCTCTATCTGGTAAGTCTCTACATCCATCTCTCTAGAATTAGTCTAGTGCTGTGATACTCAGATTCACAGGCGTAGAACTGAATGTGGTTCTTGCCCTGCGGTCCATGACACCTCCTATTCATTCAGTTGCCTTCCTGAGTTTCAGGTGTCTTCCTGTTCTCCTTGTCCTACACATGAAGTGATAGCCCATTTAGAAACAGCCCCATTTATTGTTAGGGGTTGTAGCTATGGCTTAAAGGGCAATAATGAGAAGTCATTGGTTTGGGAATAGTCTCATATTATCTTTAATAGAATCTTGCTTTAACTTTTTTTTTATTTGAGGTATAATTGACATGTAACATACTAATTTCAGGTATACAACATAAGGATTCGATATTTGTATATATTGTGAAATGATCACCACACTCAGTCTGGTTCACATTATTAAAGTTTTTAATTTTTAAAATTGGGATAATAATGTATGGCTATTAGAAGAAAATGCAAACACTGCAGAACTGTATGAAATAGAAGGGAAAGTTCTCTACCTTTCTTTTCTTTTCTTTTTTTTTTTTTGAGGAAGATTAGCCCTGAGCTAACTGCAACCAATCTTCCTCTTTTTGCTGAGGAAGACTGGCCCTGAGCTAACATCCATGCCCATCTTCCTCTACTTTATATGTGGGACGCCTACCACAGCATAGCGAGCCAAGCAGTACCATGTCCGCACCTGGGATCTGAACTGGCAAACCCCGGGCCGCTGAAGCAGAACGTGCGCACTTAACCACTATGCCACTGGGCTGGTCCCAGTTCTCTACCTTTCTAATCCCTTTCCCTAGGGAAGCAAATATTAATGATTGTATATGTTCATTCTGACCCTTAACTATGCCTCGTGGAAATAGATATTTCTATGTCTATATTTATAACACTTGTATATAGTTTGTTTCACAGAAATGGTATATTACTCTCTACTTTGCTTTCCAGCTTGCTTTTTGCCTTTCAGCAGTTTATCCCGGGCATCCTTCCATGTCAGTACATACAGATCTGCCTCCTTCTTTTGAATGGTGCCATCATTTCTCCTGATGTGGCATAACTTATAGAACGCTAAAATTCATTTGGGGGCCTTGTTTAGGTTCTTGGGGTTTTAGATGCCTAAATTAAAGAAGTATATCCTAGAAACAGTTTTTGTTCCTGATTCAGCCTTTAAAACAAGAGTATTCTGTTACCTTGAATGGAGATGAACTTTTTTTTCTTTTAAAGATTGGCACCTGAGCTAACAATTGTTGCCAATCTTCTTCTTTTCTGCTTTTTTTCCTCCCCAAATTCCCCCAGTATATCATTGTATATTTTTTGGTTGTGGGTCCTTCTAGTTGTGCTATGTGGGATACCACCTCAGCGTGGCCTGATGAGTGGTGCCGTGTCCGCACCCAGGATCCGAACTGGCGAAACCCTGGGCCGCCAAAGCAGAGCGTGTGAACTTAACCACTTGGCCATGGGGCCGGCCCCTGGAGATGAACTTTTATAGAGACTCATGTAAGAGAAGAGGATAAGAGAGAGGTGGACACCTATTTATCTTGAATTTCCACTGGCCATTTCTGGGGGACTTTGCTACCTTTATTTCTGACCTGGAATAAACCAAGTTTATTTGCACTGGTTTCATATTACTTGAGAAGCCAATGCTGGTAGAGAAGTTTCCCTGGCCCCACCCAGCCTTCTAAGGGAGGACGTTCTTATACAAATACCTTGGGAAACTGGCCTGGCACTGGCCACAAGCTCGTTCAGAACCAACGCCTGTTGTATTTATGGCCTGAAACTTCCTTTTCTTGAATATTGTCTTGGAAGCTTTCCTTCCGTGAGAGCTGAGGCGTGGAGCCCTGACCTTCACCAATGACCTTGGTGTATTTCTAGCCTCAGTGGTGTTCTAGGACATTTGCTGCATGCGCAACATTTGCCTTGTGCTCTCTGCATCTTGCAGAGCCCCTCATGTTTGGGTAGATGAACAGACTTCATTAGCTCTCAGAAAAGAAATTTCCTTGGAACAGCAGGGTTTTTTGTGGTTTGTTTGCTGTTGTTTTGGGTATTTTTGCTGGAGCTCTGCAAATGATTTAGAACCACCAGCTTGTAAGGATACGCTTTGTTTTTGAGGCACCACAGGCAGTCCTGGAGCTAGGAAGGGCTCTGATTTTTGGCGAAAGTTGCGATCCGCAGTTTTCTGGTCTGCCTTGCCCTGCTCCATGGGCTCATTTGTCTTCCTCTGGCTTGAAGTGTTCATCTTCTTGATGTTCAATCACATGCAGCTGCTGCTTTTAAAAGTAAGCGTTGTTCAGATGCTCTGGGACTCTCACACCATCAAGGTCAGTTTTGGTGGAGATGATGGCAAATTCTGAGCGTTCTACGTAAAGGAAGGCAGATGAATGAGGACTAGAGGTCCAGGCACGGGTGGCAAGCCGCTGCCCAGGTGCTTCAGGGAAGCCACTGCTTGTCTCCATGGTGGCCAGTGAGGATGATCAGAGGGGCCCTGGGAATGACACTCCCTCACAGTTTTCTTCCTGTTTTGTCTGCAGTGGTTTTTTTTCCTCCACAGCTCAAGGGTTTTCAAAGCACATGCAATAATACCCTCTTTAGGAAGGTAATATTTGGGCATTTTGAGAATTTTAAACCCTCTGTTGTCACCATTCTTATCTCTACCAGTTGGCTTTGTCACAGTGGTAAGAACCTTCCTTTTCTTTTTCGTTTTTTTGTTTTTCTGGGAAAGATTCGCCCTGAGCTAACATCTGTTGCCAGTCTTCCTTTCTCTCTCTCTCTTTTTTTTTCCTCCTCAAAACCCCACTACATCGTTGTATATTCTAGTTGTAGGTCCTTCTAGTTCTTCTGTGTGAGCTGCCACCATAGCATGGCTACTGACAGATGGGTGGTGCAGTTCTGTGCCCGGGAACCCAACCCCGGCTGCAAAAGTGGAGCGTGCCAAACTTTAACACTAGCCCGTCAGGGCTGGCTCTCTTTTTCTTTTTAATCATGGATTTAACTGCTGTGGACTTCTGCTCGGAATTAGCCTTTCTGGAATGTTCTGGAATACCTCATGTATTGGGACTATCTCCCATTTCTTTGCTAGAACAGGCTCCCTGCTGCAGGGGGCTTCCTTTTTTGGGCCTTTTGGCTGTGGGCTTCCCTTTGGATTTCGACACTGGCGTTGGCATCCTTAGCTTAATGACAATCTTCTCAGTTTTTCTACTCGCCATCTTGCAAGACAGGAATGATCTCAGAATAGCTGTTTTCTGGAGTTCTGGTTGCCTCAGCACATTGATGCCTGGCTGCAGTGACATTTTCACACCCTTCTTAAGTGGCTCAATTAGGTATTACTGATGGGATCTTGTAATTATTTCCTTGTCTGCATTCTCTTCTGAAGTACTTTGGTACTTTGGAGTAAAATGCTTGCTGAGGGTACAATTTTCATATAAAAATCCAAACTCACACAGGAATTAAGATATGATTATAGATCTACCATCCCTTATCGGCAATTCTGGAATACCCAGAGCTCGAATAATCTGAAGTTCTTTTGTTACTTATTTGGCAGTAAGACCTGACCCAAACTCGCTTTTTTATTCCCTTGAGTGTGACTATTCATACATTTTGCTGCAAATTATGAATATGTTCAATTACAGGGTCTTATCCCAGGCCCTACCTGAGGGTTTTACATAATATAAAGTAATACACACTGTTTTACCTTCCTGAAATCTGCACATTTCTGAATCTGGAACCACATTTTGCCACAAGATACTGGGACCGTGGATCTATATTGGCGTCATAAAGTACTGCAATTCCATTGTACCTGGTGACCACTTATAGACCACTAAACCTTTTGAGTTTGGGGAAACATACAAATCGTAGTACACTCCCCTGGCAATTGAATATTAATTTGTAATGCAAATGTGGTAAATTAAAGATACATTTAAAATCAATGAATAAAAAAGGAGCCCACTTCCTCTGTGTTTCTCAGCGCTATGTCTTCTCTCCATCCTGTTCCACTGTGTGAGTTCTGGCCACCATCTTCTTTTGCCTGCATCGCTGCAGTAACCTCCTAAGTGTTCTCCCTGCCATTTGTCCTGCTCTTCCCCCCAGGTCTTCTACATGCTGCAACCAAGTCATCCTGATGTTAAAACCCTTCGGCACTCCCTGCTGCCCAGTGGATGAGGTCCAGACTCTTCCAAGGGCTTTCCAAGGACTTTTTCTCATGTGCCTCCAGCCTTGTCACCAACCGTGTCTCTCTTTCACGTTTCGTTCATCCTGAACTTCCTTTGCTTCTTTGAACATGCCTGTGACCTTTCTTCGTGCTCTCCCCTCTTTCCCTGGCTAACTTTTATTTCTCCTTCTGGGCTTGGGCCAGATCTCACTTTTTCTAGAAATGCTTCTTGGACCCTTTACTCCTGGGAGGAGTGCCCTTCTGTTGTGCGTTCATAGCACCCTGTACTTCTTCATTAGCGGGTATTGGTCGCCTCCACTAGGCTATTCTCTCCATAAGGGAAGTGATTATCTCCCTTTGCTTCCAGTAGAGCTTCCTGAAGTAAATGCTTAAGAAATACGTATTGGATGAATGCATGATTAATTTCATAGAAATTTGATTTCCATACAAATTTACTTACTGTGTTATGGAAGTCATATCATGTTAGCAGTGTGAGTTTTGCTCTCTAAAGTATGTAGTTGAAGATAGACCCAGTGAGAATTTCAAAATCTGGAGTGTAGTGCCAGGAAATTGAACTTGGGTCCTTTTGAGTTTTGATGCTTAAAAATTTCCCATTTGTAGTTACATACCAATGAATGTTGCTTACCTTTTTCTGGTATATAGAATATTGTAGCAAAGTCTATTGTAATGTCTGATTCTATATGGCAAAGTTAGTCCTGTATTCTGGCAAGTGGCCAATGGAAACAGTGCTTTGTTGATTTGGTTCATGATGAAATCTGTTCAAGTCTGTATAACATGCCTTTACTGGTGTCCTTCAATAAAGGAGCTGATCTTTACAAAGAAAGCATTATTTTAC